CCCCCCCCCCCCCCGCCCGCCCCCGCCCCCGCCGTGACCTTGGCCAGGGTGAGGGTGCCGGGGAAAATCGCCTGGGAGAGAAACCCAGCAAGACATGGGGAGACGGGGACCGCTCGCAGCCTTGTGCTCCAACCGAGGCACCGAGATGTGCTTCCACAGCCCCAAAGTGGCTGAGAGATGCACAGGCCATGGGCAGAGCCAGGGCACCCTGCGGGGAAGGACTGAGCCACCTGGGCCCTGCAGAAATGCCACTGCTGCCTCAGCTTTGGGTTTAAAAATAGCCCTCCCTGAGCAGGGAGTGTAATGTAGACACATCCTCTCCCGTGCGGCACTGCTCCTTCCCTGCCCGACACAATGCGTCCCTCCACGCGGTCCCCTGGAAAACAAGAGCCCCTTCCTGCGTTTCCTGCTCTGCACCGGCCGCCGGGGACCGCGATCACGCCTGGCTCGAGCACGGCGGGCGGCCGGCCCCGCTCCTTGGGGCACATCCTCGTGGCTCCCACGTTACGGGACAAAACAAGGGGGTGCTGGGAAGCGCAGGGGTGCCCCAGGGATGCCGACCCACCGCCACGGCCCCCGGCTCACCTGATGAAGTAGCAGCAGAAGATGAGGCTGAGCACGAAGACAAAGATGCCGGTGCCGAAAATGACCATGTAGATGTTCAGCGGCAGGTCCTGGAACGTGATGGGAGGCATCGTGCAGGGTTTACTGGTATAAATCAGCCCCAGACCGCAGGAGCACCCTTGGCGGGGGAAGAGAAAAGTGTTTAGGATGGAAGAAGGGGAAAAAGAGATGAAGAAGATGTGCTGTGAGAGGGGGCTGACTCCAGAGTTTGCAAAGTGGGCAGAAACCAATGCCAAGACATCACCTCATGGCCTGTGAACCGGAGACCTCCTCAGGAAGAGCCGCAGCCCCTGAGAGCAGCTCAGTGCGGCACAGGCAGCAGACACCACCACGTTTCTGCAGGCACAAAACCCTTCTCCAGCAAACGTACCCCAGGCAGAATCCAGGCGCCTGGGAGAAAAGGAGGCCCCGTGCTTTCATCTCCAGTGAAATACAAGGAGGCTAGAAGGGGATTTAGGGAAGGACAGAGCAAAAAAAGAGCTTGAAAAACAAGAACGGTTGGCATCTGCCATTGCTCCATGGGAGCCAGAAAGAGCAAGTGGCTGGTTCGTGCTGGGAGAAGCGCCGGGGCTGTGCAGGAGCCTGTTCAGCACCACAGTGACTGAATCCCCTTTCCGAGCAAAAATGGGGGCGCCAGCACACACCAGCCCCACGCCGCTGCCTGGGCCGCCGCGTCTCGCTGCGAGTCTGAGACCACGGAGGAGGGCGTCACGCAGAGCCGGTGACAGTGCGGCCACCCCAGGAGGGTCCCACCTAACCGAGGGGGAAAGGCACGGAAATACCAGACCCACTGCAGCTGCCTCCACCGGGACTTAATGCAAAGTCAGGCGCTGGCACTAAATAAGCTCTGCTTTTTATGTCTCAAAATCATGCTGACCCCACAAGAACTGGAGCTTTGATTTCCCATCAGATCTCCGTCAGATGGGACTTTAAAGGAGAGCAGCCCCCGAGCCCCATCTGTGCTCCACGGAGCATCTCCCCCGGCCCCTTCCGCTCAGCATCCTCTGTTCCTGCACTGTGCAATCTCATCAAAAAGCTCCTACAGAAACACTTCTGGATTTAATTACAGCCCACTGAAGTCCTCTGCCTGTTTCTCATGAGAGGATGAAATTTGCTCTCCGCCACGGAGAGCAGAGACAGGAAGAGAGCGAGTGGCAGAAACCTCTGCACAAGCGGCGAGATCCCAGGTGTGGTCTGTCTGGTTTCCTCCCCGCTGCGATGGGGTGAGAAGGCAGCAGCGTGCGCTTGAGCGCGGCCCGGGACATCTGCATAGCAAGGGGAGCCCGAGCAGGACGAGCAGGCGGCACCCCTGGGGCTGATCCTGCCCTGGGACACTCAATTCCCAGATATTCCTGGGTATCTGCTCTCCGGTGCGCTTTGAATTCCTTGTGCCCCAAGGATGCAGTGGCCAAAGCCACCGTGGCCAGGAGTCACTCAGCTCCGGGGACCCTGGTTTGCCGCTGTGCAGCCGGAGCAGGCACCTGATGAGTCTGGACCGAAGGAAATGGGGTTTTCCTGCTGCAGAGGGCAGAGCCACTTGCCGATCTTTGCCCCTTGTAGTCGCCGGAGACAATTCATCAGCCACCTCATCTACAGAGCCAGAAAGGGAGGATTTGTTTGTTGGGTCCTCCTCTCCCAGCCTTCTGCTCTTGAGGCCACCAGGTGCAGGAAGAGACAGTAAGAAAGGTTTTTTTGGTTTGTTTTTTTTTTTTTTTTTTTTTTTTTTTTCCATTTCCCTGCTGGAAATGATTGAAATGATTTGCTCAAAAAAAAAAAAAAAAGTATTATCAGCTCTGAAAAAAACTATTGAGCAACTGAATGAGGTAACGCCGGTGCAGACGGTGGTGGGACACAGGCAGCTGCTGCTGGACAGAGGAAGCCTCGCTCAAAGCTGGTGGCCAGGGAGCGGTGGGCTGCGGTAACAATAACGGGTCACACGTGAAACAATAACGCTCCCTACGGGTATCTCACACCGAGAGCTATTTCAACAATCTGCTGCAAAGCCCCAGCCGTTCCCCTGCGGGCCGTGGTGACAGAAACAGCCCAGACCCGAGTCACAGCCTCCTGAGAGGTGAGGGGAGAGGGGCCCAAATGGCTGCTGGCCATGGCCAGTGCTTGCCCTGTGCGTGCCACAGCTCACCCCCAGCCAGCGAGGGATGACCAGGACCTGCTCAGTGGGCAGCTGCCCAGCCACCCGCAGTGAGATGGAAAAGCCCTTGTCTGGGGATAGCAGGAGGAGAATCAGCTCCGCAGAGAGCAGGGAAAGGCTGGGATGAGCATTCCAGAGGTTTTCCAGAAGCACCTAGGGAGAGCCCTGGGGGAGACAAACCCTGCCAACCCCATGCTAACCTCCCCAGCGCATCCCCCTGCGCTCGGCTTACAGGGCTCAAAACCCAGCGTAGGAACTCCTGAGCATCACACCCAGACACTGCTCCTCTGCACGGGGTTGTCCCTGCCAGTCCCCACGCTCTGCCCGATTGCACCCCATCCGTGGGGCAGAAATCGTATTCCCAGACCCTGCAAGCTGTTTACTGAGCACTGCTCCACGTTAGACACCCGAGTTCCCCAAGAGCCGCATCTACGAGCCACGTGGGTGCCGAGAGAGGGGCAGTCAAACCAGCAGCAGTGGGAGGGAAAAAATTGAGGTGGAACAAGAGATGCCATAACTTGCAGCCCCGTACCAAAGGAAGCAGAGAGGAGCCAGTCGAATGTGTCCTTGCCAGCCGCAACACAGCTGGCAAGGCTAATTTTAGACTCACCAGCTTAGCAAGGCTCATTCCTGTTAAATAGGCTTTCAAGAATTCATGAACTCCAGGCTGCGGTGCCGAAAAGCGAGCGTGGCTCCAGGGAAGTGCCCTTTCCCGGTCGGGGAGCAGCCATCGGTTTGGCTGAGATGAGAAAGTCCTGCCAGGACAAGCCCTCGAGCAGCGGGTCTCAGCCAGGCAATGCGAAAAGCGAGGTCCTCCCCAACCCTGGCCAGCCCCTTCCCCTCCCGCTCCTCCCCACAAGAGCGCATCGGCATGGTGGGCACGTTGGCTGAGCGATGGTTTTGATTAGCACAAACCCCTCCGCCTGACAAAGGCGTCCATATTTTTAGTTCCAGGGGAGCGGATCAAATCTGGTTTTAACCAGCATGAAATGAAGACCTGATGGGCACCAAACCCAAACTGAAAGAACCCATTTCGCCAGCTTAAGTCTATCAGTTTTGTACCCAAAACCAGAATCCCTGGAAGTAGCGTGCTAGGACAATTATTTAGCTGAAAAATGAGAAAAAGCGGGGTCACTGGACATCTGGGGAAGTACCTGCAGACACGCGCCGACCTTCTGGACCCTTCTCACCACAAGAAGGATGCTCAGAAAGGTGGTTTGTCCTGCCAGCGAAGCGTTCTTCCATGCAAAAGCTCCCCTTTGTAAGCAGAAGCAGCAAGGGAACAGTTCGACCCGCCGGGGCTGTGGGTTTCACCTTCCCAAACCTCCACGGCTCCCTGGCAGAGTTGAGCTGGCCTAAACACCCCCGTGGCAGGCGCGGTGAGGACAGGCGGTGCCTCCGGTTGAGTTGGGGTGACCCCAGCCCTGCTCCCCCCCCCCCCCTTCCAAACCCCTACAGCATGACTTCACCACCATGACCCCACAGAACAGCCTGGCCAAGACCTCTGCGAACGCAGACGCTCGTGCTCCAGCGACGCCGCGTGGACGCCCTCTGCACACAGCAGTTTGCAGTATTTCGCCGTATTTCAAGTCAGGGCAGGCACAAGTTTCTGCCCGTGCTGCGCAGGCACGGGGGTTTTTGCTGAGCAGAGCATCTCCCTCACCCCAATTCTTGTTCAATAAAACAAATGGAAAACTCAGCAGGTCATTAAATAAAACCATTCTTTCTACTCCCACACAAAAGCTGTGGGCTTTGCATCAGAAAATCGAACGCAGCTCCCATATAATTTTTGCTGTGATGCTGGAATAGGCTTCCTGCAAAAGTTGCCCCTAAGCCAAGGAGTTCTCCATGGGGGACAACCAGCTCCCCTCCAGATAAAGTCACCTGGCTCGTGCCTGGTGCCTACAAAGTCCCCCGAACTACATCTGAGCAGCAGGAGGGAAAACTGCCATGCAAAAGAGCTGAAATGCCAGGGCAGCACAGGATACGCTCGCTCGCTGTTAAGATCTTTTGAATATACCTATTTAGGTTGAAAATGTGATTTATTTACTGGGTCTCAGGCTTATTTACATCAATGGTCCCAATTCTGCAGAGGTCCTTAGTAGCGCACAGATAAGCAATTTTGCTGGACTCTGCTGATTTAAATATTTGCGAGCTCAGGGCCTAAAGCCAAAAGGTACAAGTCGGGTGCCCACGCTGGCCTCCTCAACCCACGTCCTGGCCTTTGAACAAGGGTGGGCTCTGTTCGTGGTGTTTCCCAAAGCCCGGGCCTTGGGAAGCGGAGGAGAGCCGTGGCTGCTCAGAGCCTCTAAAAGCAAAGTCTCTCTTATTTAGGATGTTTCTTTAACACAGCCGAGTTCGCATTTTCTGCTGCGGAGCATTTACATGGGCCCTGTTTAATGGAAACCCAGGCACTCGCCACCATCCGGGGCCAACCGCCTGCAGGACCGGTGGCTTCTCATCCCCCAAGCTGCACAAGAACACACAGGGTATGTGTTCGAGGAGAGGAAGCCACTGGTTGCATTATATTTAGCTTCAAAGGCTGTAACCCTTTCATAAATTAAAATAACCCAGCCTTTGTTGCTCAGGCAGGGCTTTGATGGTGGAATTCCCAGCGCAGCTTCTCAACTACTTAGTCATAAAAATAAACCACTTCTCATTTAAACCAAAACCCCCTCACATGTGCAAACTCAGTTCCACGTTCCTGAGACTTTCTTACAGCCAACACGAGAGCGAGGAGCCAGGGCCTTGTCTGGGGTCCTTTAAAAATAAGTTTATTCCCCTTCTGCGGACACATGAAAGAGGGTTGGGTTTTTTGTTGGGTTTTTTTTTTTTTCTTTCTCTTTTTTTCCTTGCAGCCGGCACACCAAGCACGGCAAACTCATTTAGGAATCGGCTTTATTCCTGGGAGCCGAGCAGGACTCGCTGCTCTGGAA